GGGTTTTAAAGACCGGAAAATGAGCATTTGCCTGAACTAAGTTTTTTATTGTTATATCGTTTTTTGATACCCGTTTTTCTTTTTTTGTCTTTTTTTTTATTTTTTATTTTTATTTTTATTTTATTTTTTGCATTTTTGGGGAGAAAGTTAATTTATTTTTGAAAAAACATTGAGTATTTAATTTATTTTTTATTGCAGCTACAGTGAAATTTTGTTCTAAATGCTAGATTGAAATTTTGATAACACGTACGGATTGATATAATGGTAATACAGTTGGTGCAGAAGAACATTCCAGTTAGAATTCAGATTCTTATGAATAAATATTTTTCTGTAACGCGAAGTACAGCTTTCGTCTCATGTAAATGAGAAAAAAAATATGTTAAACGTTTTTCTCAATTGTTTGTCATGTTGCTTGTTCAGATATCTCTCTCTTTGTTAGAGTTCCCGATGTGAATTATGACAGTTGCTTTAGCTAAAACGAAGTAGTGCTCGTGGGTATTTCGATAACAAATTATTTTTCAGGCTTGGTAGTGAGGCAATTTGTAAAAAATTCAGAGCAAGACCTCTTTGCCATCGTCCTCCGGTAAGGTTTTAAATTAATTTTAAAATATTGAGTTTTCAGTTTCATGAAACGTTTCCCGCCAAAGTTTTTTGTTTTGCCATTATTCTGTGGTCTAGTCTTTTGCGTTCATTTCTTGACAAAAGTTCAGAAATGTTATAGCTTCAAGTATTTTTTTACTTTGTTCTGTAATCTGTATCAGTTAAGTGTGTGGTAGACATGGATCATTTTGCAGTTTTGTCTGCTGGAAGTTAGTTTCTGTACTATTCTGTTCTTTCTATCATTTTCAAGAGTATTCGTTCTTGAATAGCACAGCTTTTCTGAAATGAGTACTTTACTTACTGGCTTTTTTATTCGTTACTTTTTAAACCTTTTATTGATTCATCAAATGTTAAATTCTATTTCATTCTTTATTTTCTTTATCAATTGTAGAGACGTCACACATTGATTGATGAAAGCAATCAGTCACGACCTTATAAGAAAAAGTCGGGAGGGCGATTTCATCCATACAGCAGGGAAGACAGACCGGAATAGAAACCGAGCTTTTTTTCCTAATGATTTATCTGTTGAGACGTGGATGAATCCATTTTTTTTTTCCATCATTTATATTGTTTTTCAGTTTTCAGAAAGCATATTTTTCCTATCTGACAATTCGCAGACGGCTTTGTTTAGCTTCATTTTTAAAAATTTAACGCTCTTGTTAAATGAAGTCTGGTTTTTCAGAACTCTACAGTTTAAGATTTTTGGTTTATAACCTTTAAAAAGTTGCAAGATCGTATCTCTTATAATGTGCTCAGAGGGTGAAATAATTGTATCTGTTATAATGTGCTTATGCTAGCAAAAATATTGATATTTATTACATTCTTAATTGTTTGGCATAGTTTATACTTCTTTGTCGCTGTCGTTATTGTTTGTTACTGTCGTTTGCGTATAAAAAATGATGAAATCTGATTATTTATTGTGGTTTTTTAGTTTTCGGGGCAGTTGTTTGTTGATCTCAATTTGGGGGTAGAGATTTCGAACTCTTATTCTTTTATTGGGCTAACCTTGTTATATATGTCAGTGACGTTACAGACTACAGTTGGTGACATCAAAATTGAGTTGCACTGTGATTTGTGTCCGAAGACTTGTGAGGTAAGTTGCTTTTTGTGTAGTAATGGTGAGATGATCGTTAGTTTTTTGCCAAGAGGGGAAAATTGAGTTTGTTTGTCTCATCATGGTCTTGCTGCAGTATCTGTGATGTTGAATTGAAGAAGCAACAACACGGACTTCATTGATTTTGTTGTATTGTTGATTTTGTGTTTTTGAAGAACTTCCTGGCTTTGTGTGCGAGTGGATATTACAACAACTGCTTGTTTTTCCGAAATATAAAGGACTTTATTGTGCAGACGGGTGACCCGACCGGGACTGGTAAGGGCGGTGACAGTATTTGGGGTAAACCGATTGAAGACGAACTCCATCCGGAGTTAAAGGTTTGTTTACTTAAATGTGGTTTTCTAGTACTGGCCTATTTTCTACCATGTAAGAGTTTCGTTGGACGTGTTAGTTTTAATGAGTTCCTCAATTTGGCAAATTAATTATAGCACGACGTCAGAGGCATTGTTTCTATGGCC